CACAGAGGTGTCACCACACGGTGCCACCACCCCACGTCCTCTGCTAAACCCTCTCCGCCGGGGCCCGGCTCACAGAGGGGACCACAGCAGAGGGGAAACTGAGGCACGCCCATCCTGCACGTCAGGTCTCTCATCCTGAAAACTGAGAGGGCAGAGACCAGCCTCAGCGCGAACAGCTCCAGCCAGCCCCGGGCCCTGCGATGCTGCCAGGACTGCGTGGACTCTGGGCGTAGAATCCCAGAACAGTTTGGGTTGGAAGGGAACTGAAAATCATCAAGTCCCAACCCCCCTGCCATGGGCAGGGACACCCTCCACTACACCAGGTTGCCCAAAGCCCCATCCAACCTGGCCTGGAACACTGCCAGGGATGGGGCAGCCACAGCTTCTCTGGGCAACCTGTGCCAGTGCCTCACCACCCTCAGAGGGAAGAATTTCTCCCTCAGATCCCATCGAAATCTCCCCTCTTTTGGTTCAAAGCCATCACCCCGTGTCCTGTCACTACACACCCTTGTCCAAAGCCCCTCTCCAGCTTTCTTGTAGCCCCTTTAGGCACTGGAAGGTGCTGGAAGGTCTCCCCAGAGCCTTCTCTTCTCCAGGCTGAACAGCCCCAACTCTCCCAGCCTGTCTCCAGCGCAGAGGTGCTCCAGCCCTCCCATCATCTCCGTGGCCTCCTCTAGCCCCGCTCCAGCAGCTCCATGTCCTTCTGCTGTTGGGGCCCCCAGAGCTGAAGGCAGCACTGCAGGGGGGTCTGCCGAGAGCAGAGCAGAGGGGCAGGGGCATCTGCAAAAGTATTTCAGATCCGTGCCTAAAAGCCAGCTCAAAATCTGTATGGCCCCTCTGCTTAACCAGAGTTCCACGCCGCACTGAAGGAACATAAAGCCTCCAGAGACAGGGTGGCCGAGGGCCTCGCGCTGTCCCGGCCCTCCTTTGGTGTCAGAGGACAGCGTTGCTGGGCGCTGCCAGGCATGGGCACAGACCTGGGTTTTTACAGCAGGCCTAGTCAAAATGAAGGGACTCAGCTTTACACAGACCCTGGATTCAGACATGTGGTGCGAGCCCAACTCTGCCCCAAGGATGCCCAGAGTCTGGAAAGCTTCTCTCCCTCGTTTGTGCCCACCAGCTCCAGAAACTTACCCCTTTCTCTGTCCATCACTCTCAGCAGGTTCACTAGAGGAAGGAAAGGAAGACACATGAGTCCCTCTCCTCTTGGGGCGTCTCTCCTGCTCCATCAGGACAGCAAGCCGGATACGGAACGTGCTTCCCAGCTCCTGCAGCCCCAGGCTCCAGCAAAGCCCATCTGGGAGACAGGTCCCGTCTGGAGCAGGTGTGGTTTTGCTCCCAGACTCCAGGCAAAGGCGCCAGGCAGCGAGGATCTCCTGCTGCAGCCGAGCCCAGGGGAAGCACAGCATGGGGACAGCAGTGCCCGGTGCCCCGCGGGATGCCCGCCTGGGGCCCGGACACCAGCTCCACAGCAAAGCATCACTTGCCACTCCTTGGCTTTACCTTTGAAGTCGTCCACCAAAGCCATGAGCAGCCGGCTCGTCTCAGAGAGGCTCTCCACGGTCCTCTGCAGCCCCGGGGAAACCGGCTCCGGGATCGGGGCCTTTGCCACCTCACAGCTGAGGGGGAAACAACACGGAGAGGAGCTCTGAGAGCAGCCTGCCAGCACCCGGGGCCAGGAGGGAAACGGAGGGAAAATCCCCTACAGCAACAGATCTCAGAGGAGCTGTGCCCAGCCACTGCCTCGAGAATCCCGTCTTTAACAGGAGTGCAGCCACCTCTGGTTCCAGCCAACACGTGAAACCCCAAATGCTCTGCAGCACGAAGCCACCTCCCTCCCGGCTGCTGCCGCAGCATTCCCAAACCTCTGCCCAAACGAGCCGCGCAGCGGGAGCGCAACGCTGAGCACATTCCATACCTGCTCAGGGTTTTGCCAACATCCTGGAAGAGAGAAAACACCGAGTCAGCTGTGGCGCTGCCGAGAAGGACCACGGTCCCTGGGGCAGTGAGGTACAGCTGCTCCCCTGCTGCGTGCAGCGGGGTGATGGGGGTTGGGGGGTCACACCGCTCTCCCGGGCACCCTCACCCCCATCCTCA